CTCCGTGAAGTATTTGTGAATTATGGGAAGACTTTTCCTGCAGCGCCTTCAGCACTACACGTTGCAGGTAGTTGTGTGAACAACCGATCGTGCCTGCTGAAAATCAGTGTTTCTTGACTGAAATACTATATTGATTTCAGTCTTCTGTGCACAAATCTGGCTAATTAATGGGTGTAGAAGCTGCAGTGAAAGCTGTGTGTTATATGGAAGGAGTTAGAGCCTCTGGTCCAAAGCTTCTGTTGACTTTGACCTGTCCTGTTCCTTTTGCTTTCAGTCTTCCTGCCTAACAGCTGGCAGGAGAGCTGCTGCTAAAATTTCAGGCTGAAGGAAGTTAGGACTACTTGGAGCCAACTCACCAGGTTTAACACAGTAAGTTTGGGTTAGATATTCCTTGCAAGGTTGGTTTGCCTACGGAAAGATAGCGTTTCCCTTTCCGTGTTTATTGCTGCGGAGGTTGAGTTGTCTCTGAGGGGAAAAATAATCATGGTCTGTAATCCATCCCAACTCTTCCACTTTTGTGAATAGAAGGCTGCAGTGTAGGGCAAGCTGCTTTGAGAATAAGGAAAAAAAAGAGGGAGTGGCGATGATCTTGTAGTGAATAAAGCTGTAACGTAGTGTTATTTATATATTAGAGGTTGAATAAAACTCAGAATATAAGAGAGGTTTATAAGAATATATGTATCTGTGAGAGAAGAGTGACTTAGTAGTCCTTTATGACTTCGTGTTTGCATAAATTAGCAGTCAGAAACGGAGTTGTTTTACTACAGGCCCTTACTGAATCCTGCTGGGCCCAGGTGCAGGAACTGGTGGTTTCAGCTCACACTGACTTGTAGCAGTTTTTACAGGAGAGCTGTCCCTGTGTATTCCAGCGCAAAAGCCCTGGTGGTGTTGTCCAGTTCCTGTTCCGCTTAAGAACAAAGAGTTTCTCATGTTCTAGAGGGCTATTTTGAGCGCAGCCAAACAGCAGGCCCTTACTGAATCCTGCTGGGCCCAGGTGCAGGAACTGGTGGTTTCAGCTCACACTGACTTGTAGCAGTTTTTACAGGAGAGCTGTCCCTGTGTATTCCAGCGCAAAAGCCCTGGTGGTGTTGTCCAGTTCCTGTTCCGCTTAAGAACAAAGAGTTTCTCATGTTCTAGAGGGCTATTTTGAGCGCAGCCAAACAGCACGGTTCCAGTGCAGACTGGAACAAAGACTGAAGCTGGTGGGTGCTGTGGCCTGGACTGGAGTGATCAAAGCTCACCTGAATTCAGCCTTAGAAACAGGTAGCCCCTGTTCTGCTCTGCTCCTTTTCCTCTGCCTCGTGTTTGTTTTCTGACTTGGTGACGCTGCTAAATATGCAAACATGGGTATTTTGTCTGGAAATCCCACCCCTCCCTGTAACTGAGAGTAAATTACAGTGTTTTCCAGGGTCTCTGAATTACACAAGAGGTTTCCAAGAGTGTGGAGCACAGGCAGATGGGATCGGTCTCCCAGGACAAAAATGGTACGCGCTCGGTTTATTCAGCAGATCTCAGGATGGGAGCCCAGGGATGGATAGGTCACGCTGACCCTGCATTTCCAATTGATTTGGTTTCAGGTGAGGCAGGAGGAAGAATCCGAGTTACAGGCAGGTCGTATTTCACCGTCTGTTTCCCGGTCTGAATTCCTGTCATGCTTTCCTCGCCTTACTCTGCTTTCCCGTCTTGAATGCTGCGGCCAGAGCAGCAAGGGTACGGTGTCTGCAGGGCGGCCTCTGAGCGCTTGCACAACACGCGCCGTGGCGTTAGTCTGAGGGGTCTGGGTTGAGCTGAGGTGCCCTCGCCGTGATGGGTCCTGCTAAACCAGGCTGGGACAAAGTGACTTTACCTGAGCAGTCCAGGCGCTGGCTCTCCTGGCGTCAGCTTGGCTGTTTTCTTGATTTTATGTAACTTACCAAAATCTTTTACCACTCAGAAAATCGCTTGGACCAAGCAAAGTGCTGGATGAGGGAGAAGCAGGTGTCCAAGGCAGCAAACTGTAGCTGCTGTGTGTTGTGGGGGCACCTGATGCCTCCCTCAGCTTCACAGGGCTTTCAGTGACCATCTTGTACCCCTTTTTCTTTGAGGTTATGCTGAGTTTGTAAATCAGCTGTTACTCTTCCCACCATCAAGTGTTAACTGAGGGTTTGCCTTTCGCCCCTCAGCTTCTGAGTTGCTCCACTGTTAGTTTTGACCCACTCTGCTGACCCTCAGCCTCTGAATAAATTTATTCCTTCTGCTTCTCTTTGAAAAATCATTCTGTGTCTCACTCTTTGTTGGGTGTTAACCCGTAACAGCTCCCAGCCTTTGCCTTGCCCCCAGTGCAGTCGTCTCACTGTGAGCCTCCTCTGTGCACTCTTAGTCAAAAGCTGCCGGGGCTGCAGGGCCTGTCCAACAACTGCCTCCTGCGTAGAATGGTTTGGGTGGGAAGGGACCTTAAAGACCATCTAGTTCCAACCCCCCTGCCGTGGGCAGGGACACCTTCCACTAGACCAGGTTGCTCAAAGCCTCATCCAGCCTGGCCTTGAACACTTCCAGGGATGGGGCATCCACAGCTTCTCTGGGCAACCTGTCCCAGTGCCTCACCACCCTCTCCAGGAAGAATTTCTTCCTGATATCCAATATAAACCTCCCCACTTCATTTTAAACCCATTACCCCTTGTCCTGTCACTACAGGCCCTTGTAAAAAGCCCCCCCCAGCTTCCTTGTAGCCCCTTCAGGTACTGGAAGGTGCTATAAGGTCTCCCCGGAGCCTTCTCTTCTCCAGGCTGAACAAGCCCAACTCTCTCAGCCTGTCCCCATAGCAGAGGTGCTCCAGCCCTCTGAGCATCTTCGTGGCCTCCTCTGGACTCGCTCTGGTAAGTAGGAAGCTGCTAATAGAGTTCAGTGAAGAGGCGTTTATTTTTAATAGCTTGATTATCGCCAGGAAAAAGCCCTGCCCTGGCTTACGGCTGTGATGACACTGTCCTGAAGTTGGCAGGCAGGAGAATGTGTAATGTCCCCGTTAACAGGGCTTTCTTTGTGTGTGAAACATCCCTCTAAAGAGGGGATTTGCTATACAGGCTGGACTATTGCATTCCTTTGCCGTGCTGATGCTGCTGGGAGCTTGCTAGATTCATGAATTTATGAATGGAGGCTCCAGTTATCTTCAAATATCAGTTTCAGGCTTTGTGAGTTAAGGCCTCACAAGTGAAAACTTTGAGCTCCAGTTAAGTGAACAAGAGGCTCTGGGACAAGCTGACAATAGAACTGATGCTCGCAGGAGAGAGAGAGAGGAAAAAGGTGTGGGCTCTTCATGTGCATGGTTAGAGCTGACTGCAGGAGGAGATGGGGCTGATTTAGGATTGTACTAAAATGGGGCTACGGGAAGGACCTAGTCTGCCCAGAAACAGGCAGGTGAGCAGACCTGCTTCATGTCGCTGTGACAAGGCAGCTGCGTGTGGTGGCGAGGCTGACCCTGCGAGGGGCAGAGACGGGCACTGCAGGAGCCGGCAGACCCTCGCTGCTCCCCAGCTGAGCACCTGGGCTTGGAATGAGCTCGGCCTCAGAGACTGACTCTCCTAGTGCTTCTTAATGCCTGTGGATGCGTACACATGGCAGTGTTGAGGCTTTCCTGTTAATTCGGTCTTTACGTTGTGCATAGGCACATGCAGTTGGCATTCCGTATTGGCCTGCTGCTGTTGAAGAACACTTATCGAACCCCTGATTATGTTTTTAAGTATTACAGAGAAGTAAGTTGGTAAGAATTTTGTTTCTCTGTGAACTTCTCTCCTTCCCAGCCTGTTTGCAGAGGAGGAGACTAGCAAAGGGTTTCTTTCGTTCTTTTTTCCTCAGGTTTTATCAGCCCCTTGGCAAGAATACCTGAGTACCTCCAGAGTCTTTATCTTATCCACAGTCACTGCACCTCCCTGGGATGGGGGAGTCTCATGGGGCCCATCCTGCAAGTCCCTGGGAAAACAATTTTCAATCATTTTAGGCAGCGGTAAGCTGGAAGCTGAACTCTGGCATTGTCGAGCTCATGCTGGTACGTAAATCGCTGCCTTTTGCCTTACCCATGCCGCCTTCAAACCCTCAGTTACCATCTCCATGAAGGCTTTCGCTTTTCTGAGGCTGGGAGCGAATGGCAAGTCTAACTAGAAACCTTGTTTCATCTTTTTTTCCCCCCTCAGTTCTTGATTTCCAAGTGCAGGAAGGAAATATGCACATGAAATGCAGAGCTGAAAAGAGGGAACTCCTTGTAGCGGATCGCCATGTCCCAAGAAGGTATGCTGAAGTCCTGTTTCACCAAAGCAAGACACAAAGATTTGTTTATTTTTACACCACTTAACTGGTTCTTCCAGAAAGAAGGAAAATGCCATCTTCCTTCCTCTGGCAAAACTGCCGAAATCGGTGGAAGTAGGGCCAGCAGCAGAACAAGGATAGCAAGAGGGAAACTGTAAACCCTACCCCCAGGGCTGTAAGAACTTCAGTAGGGCCCCTTGATCACTATTCACCTTCTCTGTGCCACCTTGTGTTATATTAGATGAAACTGTCAAACTCCTGTGAGGTATGTGGCACCAGGAGCAGAGTGTGCTAAGTGAGGGCTTTTATTTCTCAGTGGTTTTGTAGCACACTCAACTTTTAGCTGAATTTTGGAAAGAAATATTCCACTCTCTTGAGGAAAGATCTGGCTAATATCCTTATTTCTCATTGTCTTATCACCGGTGCATGTCAGCATCAGGATTGACCCGTTTCTTTTGCCTGAACCGCCAAGCTCCATCCCTGGGAATAGAGGTGGTGTTTCGCCTTGGGAATGAATTTGAAAAGCCTCAGGTTTGGGAAGGAGCTGTGCTGTAGAGTGCAGTTCCCAGAAGAAGTGCCTGCTCGCTGTCCGTGTCTGCTCCACCTGCCTTCTCAAATAGGCCAGGGCAGCGTGCCTGACGAGTAGGAGCGTTGCAGATATCGTGGGCGATGGGGCTTACGCAGGGACAGATCCCAGAGGGCGATCCAGTGGGTGTGGATGCTTAAACGTGTCGGCTTGGTGTGGTGGTGGGTTTCACGTTGGGCTTCCCGCTCGGAGGTCTGGGGAGAGAAATGGATTTAACTTACTGTGGTGTGAAGGAACAAGAAGGCAGTTAACGTGTGGCTGCTATCAGCAAATTTAGCCTTGGTCCTCAGCCAGGGACCTCCAAGAGCAGGCTGCAAAGTGCCCCTAAATCTCCTTCGTGCTGGTGAAGGACCTGCCAGCAATGACCTAGTGACAGCTGGTAGCAGGGCTTCCTTCAGATACACTGCTAATCAACTGTTGGGCTAATTAGCAGAAAGCTGTGTGTTTTTAAATTTGCCTCTGAGGTCTGCAAACCTCTGTCCTCTCATCAAGCCTTTCTCCACACTCACAAGTCCTGGACTTTTTGTGTGCGCACCAGTTTCCTGCAGAGACCTTGAAAATGAAGCTTTCTAGACTACCAGCGTGTTCCCAAAATGATAGAAATAGTTCTAGGCTGATTTAACGAGGGGGAGATTTGGCACCTGTTTTCACCAGGGACTTATTTGTGGTGGAAAATGAATCTGTCAGCAAGAATCCCAAGCCAGATCCTGAGGCACTCTGAGGGAGTTGCAGTATCAACTCCCAAATAACTTAATTCCCACAGGTGGGAACAACTTAGAGCAGGAGGAATTTTCTCTCTGAATAAAAGCTTAAATACACTAGAGTTGTTTAAACCAGGACTCTGTCATGTGAGCGCAGAAGCCGAAGGGAAGCTGCCCTGGATGAGATGTTTTCCTGAGGCCCTTATACCAGCCGCCCATCGGCAGACAAAGAGCTGTGCTGTGTGCTTTTCCCATTAGGAACAGAACAGCATTGGACAGGGCTGGGCAGGGATTGAGGTGAGGGGAGGATGCAGGCATCGTCCTGAACACGGCTGCAAGCAGAGCTTTTTGTTGTTGTTTTGCCTTGGAAAAGCAGGTGAGGATCAGAAGAGTGCTGGGTATAATAAATATCCATCAGAAAATGACAGGCTGTGCCCTTTTTTAAGACAAGTAAAAACAAAAAAAGGCAGACAAAAGGCATTTATCTCTTGAGTGCGAGAGGCTGCCAAGTTTAAGAGAAGAGTTGTCTCTAGGAGACAAAACACCCGTCCCTCACTCACCTTTTACACCTGCATCTCCGTCTCCTGGTCTCTGAAACAGAATAGAGAACGTTTCGGTGCCAGGTACCAAGGCACAGCTCAGGAAAGCAGCGCTGCAGCAGGGTAGGGCTGGCATTCCCTAGCAGCTTGCCATGGCTAAGACTAACAGCGAATAACCCAAGCTTGTTTTTGAGGAAAACCGCAGAAGGGAGCAGCGCTGGGGCTCACCTTCCCCCAGCAGCCCGCTGAAGTATTTCCATGAACTGAGTTTGCATGTGAGTACCAGCAGCAGGGTCAGCCTGGCAGCACTGACGGTGAATTTTGGGTTGGTTTTTTTTGCTGTCTCCAGTGACTTTGGCATGTGGCTGAAAATCCGTTGGAAGCAATTCCTTTCCTAAACAGGCAAGCGGTAATGATGCCATGCAGCCATGCAGTTACTTTTAAGCTACTTCAGCGGCAAAATACTTGGGCGTTCCAGGCAAACGAGGTGAGGCGTTTTAATGAAGTCAGTCTGACTCCTGGGGGTATCGGGGCACTCCCCAAAGGGAAGCCAAACGGATTTCAGCGAGCCATGAATTAGGTTAAGTACGTTTGTGCTTGTTGCTGGCTCAGGGTAAGGTGAAGCTCATTTCAAACATGAAGTTTCACCAGAGGATGTTTGCCTACCCGGAGATTTCGCATTACTGCTCTAACCGTAGCAGTCTCGGAACCTGTGCAATCACGTTGCTGGTTTGGTTACAGCTCAGGCTGCTGATTCGAGTTCAGCATTTGAATTTGCCGGCCCTGTGCTGGAGCATATTTAGCTTATTTTTTCAGTGTTGCAGGTTCTGGTGCTTTCCCCCCCTCCATACACAAAGTTAAGGACGGCAGAGCCAAGAGATTTTGGTAGAGTAAGTTTTCTTTCTTTATAACCTGTTTTTCCTCCTTGTACTGTAGAAATTGGTGATTATTTCTCAGGCTAAGCCCACTGATGAGGAAAATGAGGACACTGACATTTTCATCAGCGGTCCTTCCCTTGGGTTGACTGTGTCCTGGTTATCTGCTATCTATGTAAGGGGGAGAGCTAGAAGATCAATAACCCTACGGACAGGGCTGGGATTCAGGCCAGAGGAATAGCTACGGGGGGCTATGGGTGAGCCTTACGTTGATGCAGCATGACGGTGAGTGCCAGGGCGATGAGGAAGAGGAGGCAGGCAGCTGCCAAGGGAACCCAGATGAAGGTGTCACAGAAGAAATCCAGCTCTTTGACCTTGCTGTTCTCTGCAGGAATAGAGAAGGGGAAAGGTGCTCATGGCGGTTGTAACGGCCAGCTCTGGGGGAGCCCAGGGACCCGCCTGGCGTTCGGCGAGGCTCGTGGTGAAGCAGAGAGCTTCCCCTGGCCCACTGCAATGTCCACAAGAGCAGCGTGGGTCTCGGTTAGTGCTGCTTTCGGCGTTTTCCTGGGGACTGGAGGGAGGACACGTAGCCAGCAGTTTGCTCCTGTCCCCTGCCAAGGCTAACGCCAGCACCAGTCCCCAAGGTTCTACCCGCCTTCTACTTCTTCCCGCTGTGCCCAGCCAGGGGAGATGCTCATGCATTTTGTGTCATCCTTAGATTTTCCTACGTGGGATGAAACATCGGAGCTTAACCCTTCCAGCTACACATACCCAGTTACGCAAATCTGATGAAGCTCTAAAGATTTTCCCTCTCCCCTCATCCCAAAATGCCTGCAGGATCCCCCTCAGTATCAGCAGACCAGAGCCCAGCTCTTCCCCTCTCCCTCCCTGCAGCTGGGCTACCTGGATGCGGGGTCTTCAGGCAAGGGTCCTTCCCAGTGATGCCGTGCTGGGTCGTGGGTGCCGAGGTAGGTGCCGGTGTGGTGGTGACTGTAATTGAAAATGGATGAATAGATCATTTAGGGAAATGGAATAAAAGAGGTTTCTCCTACCGTTGCCAGGGCACGGCTGCTCCTGTGGCCAGCACGAGGCTCAGCTCCAGGGGAACTTCGTGAAGCCCATTTGGGATGGCAACTCCCCCAGGGAGGGTCTTGCAAGACCCAGTAATGAGCTGCAGGCTCCTTGTTTCTTGTGTTCTACCACCGCCTTCAGAAAGCGTGAGTAGCCTGAGGTCGGTAGGACTTCTGGGACCTACGTGGGGTGAGAAGGGAGGGTGGTGGTGGTGGACTTTGCTTTGGTCTCATCCCTTTAGAGCCACGAATGGGATGGAAAAATGGGGATAAGGAGGTGATTCTGGGTCTGCCTGATCATTTTTGTGTTTGGGTAGGAGTGATACCAAGAGAAGCAACAACAAGCAGGGAGCCTCTGGCAGCAGGACCGATGTGCTGGTCACAAGCAGTGCAGTGGGGTTTGTGGGAGAGGCGACTAATTAGTAAAGGCATGGGCAGGGGGTGATGGATATTTTGGTACAGATAAGCAAGGTTGGGTGGAGGTTGCTGACCTGGGAAGAAGGCAGGCTGGCCGCGGCTGAAGTACAGCATTTGATTGATGTTCACGAGGCAGAAATAGTTCCCCTCATCCTGTGGCATGAACGACTTCACTACCAGCTGGTAGAACTTGCCAACAATCCTCGCCTCGAAGCGTGTGGATGTCTTCTTATTCCCCTCGAAGGTGGTCCCAGACAGGAGATTGATGAAGACGATGAAGTGGAGGGTCCCACCCTTGTCCTGGCGGAACCAGAATACGCCACTGTCGTCAGGGGAGGGGTCACACTCCAGCTCCAGCCGCTGTCCTGCCTGGGATAGTGGGGTGGTCCTGCCATAAATCCTGGCAGTTATCTTGTACCTCTGGCCCTGGATCCCAGGGCATCCTGTGGGAGAGAATTCCTCATGGTAACTGCTCGGGAAAAGCCACGTCCCCCTCTGGGCAAACTTTTTTCTGTCCATGCAGTACGAGGCCAAATGCCAAGTGAGGACCATGCTGTCCAGATGACTGGAAGGTTTCATTAGAGTCCCTGCGGTGGTTGTGTGTGGGGGTGCGCAGCAGTCAGTGGCCTGAGCTTTAAAGACGGGTGCTGCCCTTCAGAAAAGCCTTTCAGCTGCCTTCTCAGGGACGTTACCCCTTCCCAGCTTATCTGAAGTGACTCCTTAAAAACACAGAGTGGTAAACCCCCTTTTTCCCTTCTCCCTCCCCTCCAGAACCACTTCTCCGATGGGGCTGCCTTCCCGGTGCCTATGATGCTGCAGCCACCTCTCCAGCTGCCCCACGCTGGCTGTGCTGATTCCGCCTTCACCTCCACAATTACTTGAGCAAGCCTCACAGTCAGAATTGTGGTTTGCCTTTATTTTCCCTTCAGCTCCTTAGCCCAATTGCGTGGATTTGGTGGAAGAGGTTTGCCTGCTGCTCCCGGTGAAGGTGATGCACAACCCTGTGTCCATACTCACCGAGTCCCAGAGTGAGCAGAAGGAGCAGGGCGGGAGTCTCAGCCATCTCCTCGGGGTGTCCGTCCTCGGAGATGGTGCAGCGGAGCAGAGACGATCTTTCTTGCTTGACTTGGGAGGCTGCGTCGCTCTTTGGAGAGGATGTGATGTCATCAGGACCCTCTTGGGTAAGGAGATGGTGTTCGGCATCTGTGGTAAAATGAAGAGACAAAAGGTTTCTGAAAAACTTCAGTTCGAACCCAGAATTTGGGCTCATTTATCATTACCAGTTCTTAATGGTACCTCAATGTCTTTGGCTCAGTGACCTCCCTGGGGATTCAGACAGATGATGTTGTGCCCAAGGCAGGATCCGCCGCCGCAGCCTGTCTCTCAGCCGTCCAGGGCTTCGCAGCAGCTCCAGCTCTGCAGAAGTCGCGGACAAGCCCTGTGCTTTGGCTGCAGGGCCCAGGTTGCATTTCTTGGCAGGGATCCTGCTGCCTTCGCTTGGGTGCACTCAAGGGGTGTCGTGCGGATGGCAGGGCGCACCCGTATCTCGCTGCCCAGCGAGCAAGACAGGTGTTTCGTGGCTCAGTCCGCGCGTGTTGTTTATCTCCGAGCACATGCCCTGCTGGGACTCAGCGGAGCTCCTCACCTGTTCTATTGTTCTCTTTGCACTTCTTTGCCATTGCTCTGCAGAAGCTGCTTTGTGCGCGGCAGGTGGTCTGTGATCTGAAACCCACCAAGAGAGCCCCGTGCCCCAGAGCGCTGCTTTTTAAAATTTTTTTAACGTCTTGTGGTTTTCTTCTGTAACCACAGGGGCTTCCGCCCTGCCAAAAGCAGCCTTGGGTGCACCAGCGGAGAGGGCCGGCGGTGCCGCCCGCCTCCGGCTGACCACTGGCACATGGCTCTGGGCGATGCTTCCTGCAGCTTTGCACCTAGGGCAGCCACGGTTTCACCAGATGGCTGAAGATGAGACCCATGTTTCCTGAGCTGCTGAAGTGAGCTGGTTCCTGCCATCCATGGGGATTGTTTTGTGAGCACCCCCGCTTCCATCACTGCCACAGCTCAGTGTCAGACAATGGCATTTCAAAGGCATTTTAAAAAGCACAACCCTCTTGAGACCAAAGTAGGAAAATTCCCCATTCCCCTTTTTGAGTACAGTCCGAATGGAAGTGAACATGCTGGGAAACGAGGGTGGGTCAAATGTTTGTCAGGAGTCGGATCTCACTCTGTCGTAGAGCATGGATGCTTACCTGCAGCACCTGGTGTGTGTCCTCAGAGGTGTGGTGATGGATGTGCTGGGAGAACCCATGCGATTACAGGATCAGCCAGGAAGGGCTGTTGTCTTTCTTAGTAGGGACATCTTCCTTCTCTCTTATTTCTGATTAACGGTAAATTTCATTATTAATCAATCCTGGGTGCCAAACCGGAGCCCAGATGTTTCTCTCCTGGATGTAGAGGTGTCCTTGAACTTGGTCCTTATGAATGCAATTGAGCTGGTTTCCATGTGAGGCCAACGTTTCCTGTGTCGTGTTCAGGCCCCGAGTTGCTCTTCAGAGGTCTCCTTCTCCTCTTCATATTTTATTTGCTGAAGAGCTTTGTTGCTCACCACCACACCAAAGATACCGCCAGCCTCCCTCTCTTCTAACACTTGCCCGTTGTGCTGGGCAAGGGCAACGCTGGTGAGTTACAGGGGATGGCTTCAGGGGGAGAGACTGCTGCTGCCTGCAATAAACTGCTAATGAGGATATCCTTTTCGGCAATACAAGAGCTTATTGTCAGCAGAGAGATATGGCTGCACGTGGGCTCTTGAGCATCTCTTCAGCATGGACACGCTTCATTGGCCAGAAAGGGAGCAGGGAAGTGTATCTCTGATGGAGATGCCTGTGTGTGATCAGTGAAAGACCAGCGTTAGTAACATGTTGTATTAGTAATTTCTGTGGTAGTGCCACAGAGATGACTAAGGAAGGAAAATTTCAGAGGACCAGTTACTTCTGCAGGGTGTAGTATAAGAGATGTCAGGAGACCAGGCAGGTTGGTTAGACAGTAGAAGGCACTTTCTTTTTTCTTCCAAATCTACCAGTAAGTCTCCTTTTACTCGTAGCTGAGGTTGCAGGCCTCTGATTGCTGGTGAACTCCAACCGAAGTTGCTTCTGACCACGGTTTATCTTTATATACTGAGGCAAGCCTAAGTCTGTATTTAAGTAATGTCAAACAGTTAAACAGAAGGAGACAGGAGCAAAGAGGGAAGGGAGAAAACCACACAGGGAAGAGACAGGCTGACAAGGATCTGCGTTTTTGGATAGGGCTCAGCAGGAGATGAGTTTAGGATTAATTTTCTCTGTGCTTGCTTACAGTCATTTGACAGAGAGGACTTGGGAAATGAGAGGGAGCCATCCGAGCTGGAGGAGGTGCTGAGGTTCAGCTATGATTGATTTGGTAGTCATTTTGTGGAAGGATCAGTGACTCCTGCCTAGTGGTAAGAAACTCCTCAGCTTCTGAGTGTCAGCAATATCGGATGTCGCCTGGATGTCTCGCAGTACTGTGTGACCAGCAGCGGGAACGCATCTCGGGACATGGGAGTTATGCTGTGATGGTCGGTGGACACAAAAGTAGCATCCAAATGACCAACGGCCCATCAGGTTCATTGTTTCCCTTGCCCATGGTATCTCCATGTAGTGCTTCGAAAGGACAGATCAGCAACATCGCTGCTGATGAGCAGGCGCTGCTCGATCTCTGCAAGTGATTCGTGATGGTACCTCAGAGTGTAACGCCGGGCTGTGTTTGCTTCAGCAGCGCTGGTTCTTTCTGCTGTTAACGTCTTGGTGTAGCATCTCTCTTGTAAGGAGGACTGGAAACTTTTAATGGAGATTTTAAAGTTTAGTCGCAAAGCACAAACTTCTGTTTCAAACAGAGGGGAAAATAAGTGTTGAGACTACAGCATGCAACCTTTCCGGTGTGAAGTGAAGCTGTGGTTTATGAGCAACTTGCTGCTCCCCTTTTCTTGGTAAAGCTGCAGCACTGAAGGGGTTTGGAGAATGTCAAGGGGAACTGTCACATCAGAGACTCACACCCTGTCTTTCCACTGTAGCTGACGTTTCCGATTCAGCGACCAATACTCTGTTCTCTTTTGGGTACTCTCAATGTAAACATCACATACCCATAAATACAGTATGCAAACCACAAACAGTCTTGCACTCCCATCTCTCCATGGTGTAGACCTTTAACATGATCGTTGGTTTGAAAATCTCTGTTATCTCCTTGTCTCTTGGTCCCTCAGCTGAGAGCCTGATAGAAGACGACCTGAATGTGTCACACGTTCTGCTTGCATGGGCTTCCCGAACCTTCCCTCTTGATGCTCCAGAGCTGGTTTGCGCAGACTTGTGGTGAATCAGCAATCCATGACGGCATCTTTTGGGGAGTGGTGACCATTTCCTTTGCTAGTGCCACAGCTGGAGTTGGCAGTAGAAAGGTTGGGTTTTCTCTATCTTCAGTCTCCTAAATACCACAGAGATTCAGTCCAGAAGTACAGCAAGACTTTGTATGTTCTTGAGCTGGGCTTTCCCTAGTAAAATGGATTTTTTTTGCATTTTCTTGAAAAAAACCAACCCTCGGTACAGAATCAGACCTGTAAGACAGAACCCCAAGCCTTGATACCTGGTTCAAAAGAGGGGAGGAGAGGTGGCTGCACCATCTCTCTTGAGTGTGGCCAGCAGGCCGAGGGAAGTTATCCTCCCCGTCTGCTCTGCGCTGGTGAGGCCTCACCTGGAGTGCTGTGTCCCACTCTT